GTGCCTTACTTCTCCGCATCGTTGTTCTCTAACACAACAGTTCTCAGCCAGGGTTGATTTTCCCCCCAGAGGACACTGACAGTGTGTGGAGATATTTTGGGTTGTCACACCTTGGGGGAAGGGGGCGGTGCTCTGGCATCTCATGAGTGGAGGCAAGGGATGTTGTTAGACATCCTACAATGCAGAGGACAGTACCCCATGACAAAGAATGATCTGGCCCGAAATGTTAATAGTGCCAAAGCTGGGAAACCTGCTCTAGCCGTACAGCATTTTTCAAATGGCATCATATCTGAGCAAACAACTGAAAAAAATGTCCCATTACATGGGAGGAGGAGCACTCACCTTTCAGGATCACACACACTGTTATCTGCTACCATTGCATTTAAAACAGCAGCATTTGCTAAGGAATAAAAATAAAATTAAAGAATTAAAATAGAAGAAATGAGTAATCATAGAATTATCACAGCAGAAAAGCTGTTGGAAAAACACCTAACTCAGTTCCTTCAGTTCCCCGGTGNAAACTTATGGTGCACAGCTCACACAGGATGCAGAAAAAGATCCTTCTTCCTTTCCATGTATTGTCCCAATTTCCTTTCCAGGCCCTTCTTGCTACTGCCCACAGCACACTCTCTGGACACCCCAGACCAAACCTTTCCCAGGGGCATCCTACACTTTTGTGATCCAGTGCCTTTTCTCCTGGATTTTCTTCTGCCTACCACCAGCCCCCGCCTCTCGTCTCCACTTCTTACACAGCTGGTTCAGATGGCACCTCTTCCGTGAACATCCCTGACCTCCCGCTGGCCTCCCAGAGCCCCCAGAGCCTCTGGTACACAAGTCTCCACTCCCCACTAGACTAATTCCTCCATGGCAAGGACCTGTGAATGCCCAGCTCTGGCACAGTACCCAACACACAGTGGCATTCTATAAATGCTCCTCGTTGGACAAATGGAAAATTATATAAAAATGTAGTTATCTGTAATTAATGATGAAGGAATAGGATGCTCAACAACCACAACCTAAAACCAGTAATACAAAAATAGAACTTAGCTGGTATCCCCAAACCAGCCTGGTCATTCCTTTAGTGATCATCGTTCATGGTGGTCTTTCAATGCCTGAGGTACCAAACTTGTATTCTTTATAGTAACCCAATGAAGCTGGTACAATGATTATCTCCATTTTATAGATGATGGGACTTGAGCTCAGAGTGGTCACCTTGCCCCAGAACAGGCGGTCAATAAGTGGCAGAGTTTGTCAGACTGAACAAAGTCCCCCAATTCCAAGGCTGCGTTCTTGCTCTTAACCTCTGTGCCTTACTTCTCCGCATCGTTGTTCTCTAACACAACAGTTCTCAGCCAGGGTTGATTTTACCCCCAGAGGACACTGACAGTGTGTGGAGATATTTTGGGTTGTCACACCTTGGGGGAAGGGGGCGGTGCTCTGGCATCTCGTGAGTGGAGGCAAGGGATGTCGTTAGACATCCTACAATGCAGAGGACAGTACCCCATGACAAAGAATGATCTGGCCCGAAAT